CTACTGCCTTTGTGAATAAATCTGCCAACTGGTTAACAGTACTTACATGGTGCAACTTAATCAACCCCAACTTGATTCTTTCTCTTGTCAATCTCTATGTGTTTCGTTCTTTCATGAAACACAGGATTCTCTGCAATATGTATTGCAGATCGATTGTCACAGTATATAGAAATTGGTAATGGTACCTGCACACTCATCTCTGCCAGCAGATTCCTCAACCATTGCACCTCACAAGATAACAATGCCAATGCTCTATACTCAGCCTCTGATGATGACCTCGAAACAGTATTTTGCTTCTTTGTTTTCCAAGTTAGGAGTGAACTGCCCAGGAATGTACAATAACCAGTGGTTGATCTTCTTGTTTCAGGGCAACTAGCCCAATCAGAGTCACAAAAACCCACAAGTTTCAGGTCTGCCTTGCTGCTGAAGTAAATCCCTTGTCCAGGTGAACTCTTCAAGTACCTAAGCACTCTGTAAGCTGCTTGCAAATGTTCACTATGAGGATCCTTTTGGAATTGGCAAAGCTGTTGAACTGAGTATGTCAAGTCTGGCCTGGTGATTGTTATGCAATGGAGTCTTCCCACCAGTCTTCTGTATGACTCTGCATCTTCCAGTCTTGTACCTTGAGTAGCTGTCAATTTGATCTTAGGATCTGCTGGAGAATGACAGCCCTTTGCCTCAATGTACCCAGTGTCATGTAACAAATCCATACAATATTTCCTTTGGCAGACTGAGAGCCCTTCTGCATTTCTTGTCACTTCAAGTCCAAGGAAATACTTCAGTGGTCCCAGTAACTTCACTTTAAACTCTCTACTCAATGCCTTCTTGACCTGCTCAATGTCAACTGGTGCATCACCACCTACTATAATATCATCCACATAAACCAATACAATCACAATCCTTCCTCTTATCCACTTGGTGAACATTGAGTGGTCTGAACTTGACTGTGAAAAGCCACTTTTCAAAAGGAATCCAGTAAGCTTGGCAAACCATTGCCTTGAAGCTTGCTTTAATCCATACAAGGATTTCTTCAACCTGCAAGCAATCTGTCCTTCTTTTCCCAGCAGTGAAACTGGTATATCAATACCTTCAGGAACCTTCATATACACTTCCTCTTCTAGGTCTCCTTGTAAGAAAGCATTAGAAACATCCATTTGGTCTAGTGTCCAGTTTTTAACTGCTGCTATTGCCAATAAAGCTTTCACTGTGTTTATCTTAGCAACTGGTGAGTATGTATCCAAAAAGTCAATCCCATACACCTGTGTATATCCCTTTGCTACCAACCTGGCCTTATACCTCTCTACTGAACCATCAGGTTTCAATTTGATTTTGAATACCCATTTGTAGCCAATCATTCTCTTACCTGGTGGCAGCAACACTATCTCCCAAGTTTGATTTTCATCCAAAGCCCCTATCTCAGCTTCTACTGCTCTTTTCCACTCAATAAACTTCACAGCTTCTGCATATGATCGTGGTTCCATCTGAGACAAAACACTTAGTGCATACCTTTTGTCAACCTGGTTGAGATGATCAACATGGAAACAAATAGGATGTCTGCTTGTTGTTGCCACAGAACCAAATCCACCAAACTTCAGTTTTGGATCAAGTTCACAATCACTGTATTTAGCTGGAAGGTGATGTTGTCTGGGTGGTCTACCTGTTGGTTCCTCAAATTCTGCTTGAGGTTCCAGTTCAGGGTCATGTTCACCATAATGAGCAGAGGAATCTTGGAATGGAGATTCAGAATTGGTTGCTTCAACTGGGGAGTTCACTGGCAGTTCAGGTTCAACTGTTTCAGGAGAGGTCTGCCCCCCATCAGCAGAGGGTGAGTGAGAATGAGAGGGTAGAGGTACTTGGAGTGGTGGAGAAGGAATAATAGGTGAAGAAGGAGGAGAGACTGATGGAGAATCAGTTGGTGGTTCTGAAGAACCATGTCTAAAGGGAAGAATGGACTCATGGAACACTACATCCCTAGAGACAAAAACTCTATGGTCATGAAGGTCCAAGAGCTTGTAACCTTTGATGCCTGGAGGTATCCCCAAAAAGATACACTGTCGAGCTCTTGCATCAAATTTAGTTCTAGCATGACTCAGTGTACTAGCATAACAAAGGCTACCAAATACTTTCAAATGACCAAGGTAAGGTGGTTTGTTGTATAAGATTTCATAAGGTGACCTGTTTTGCAATACTGGAGTAGGTATCCTGTTGATAAGGTAGACTGAGTGTAGAACACAGTCACTCCAATATTTGAGAGGAAGACCTGACTGAAATCTTAAAGCTCGAGCAACATTCAAAATGTGCTGATGTTTTCTTTCCACTCGTGCATTTTGTTCAGGGGTTTCCACACAAGACATCTGATGCTCAATTCCATTCTCCATATAAAAATCACACATACTGAATTCCCTTCCCTGGTCACTTCTAACTGTTTTGACAGTTTTTCCAAATTGGTTTTTAACCAGTTGACAGAATCCCTTAAGCAACTCTCTTGCTTCACCTTTGTGTTTCATTAAAAACACCCAAACTGCTCTAGAACAATCATCCACAACATTAAGAAAATAGGCATAACCATCATAAGAGAGAACAGACAAGGGCCCCCAAATGTCAACATGGACAAGTTGGAACAAATCATTTGCAGTACTAGTGCTAACAGGAAATGGAAGTCGTTTGTGTTTGGAGAAATGACAAACATCACAGTGGGAAATCTTAGAACTAGAAACAGTGGAATCAGTTTGTTGCAAAAGAGAAATCCTATCACTACTAGGATGACCAAGTCTCCAATGCCAGAGGTCAAACTGGTGTGCATTGAAGTTGAAAGTGGTGGCTGCTTGTGGAAGTGAAGGAGAACTCATTTTGTCGTGAGATGGTTGGAAAGAAAGCTGGTATAGACCTCTAGATTCTCTTGCTAAACCAATCATCTTCTTGCTTAGAAGGTCCTGAATTTGACACAAATCAGAATGAAAGTGTAAGGCTAGGGGACAATCTCGTGTGAGTTTACTGACTGAGACAAGATTAAAAGAGAAACTTGGAACCAGAAGAACATTATACAGATGTAAACCTGAGGGCAACTTAACTGTACCTACATGTGTAACTAGAACCTTAGTTGAGTTTGGTAGATACACATAAGTGTTAAGTACTGGTTGAGACTCAGTAAAGAGAGCTAAAGAACATGATATATGATCTGAGGCTCCTGTGTCTAGAATCCAGAAATGAATCATATTGGTGTTGGTAAGGTTGGTATGGGTGGAGAGAACATAATTACCTGAGTAATTTGGAAAGGGTGGAAGAAACTGTGACACTGAATAGGCATTATGGGAGATGGAAGGCGAGAGTGGTGGTGAATGGACTGTGCTAGCACTAGATTGCATCAAGAGCCTTAGCCTATTCATCTCCTCAGGTGTAAAACCTACCACAGATGTAGCAGAACTTACAGGACTTCCTTCTGATGTTTCCCCTGTCACACTTCCTTCACCTTGTGATTCACCCGAGCTTGCTTGTGACACAGAACCAGCAAATCTTGTTGTTCCTCGTCCTTGTGAACCACCTGTGTTAGTGCCATTCTTTTGTTCCCTGTCTTTTCTCTTCTTAGTCCAACATTCCTCTATGTTGTGACTGGTTCTCTTACAAAACTCACAATATTTCTTGCCCTGCTGCCTCTGTCCTGTATTCTGTTCTGTATTGACAGCCAAGGCTACACTCTGGGACTTCTTGCTATTACCCCCTGCTTCACCTTTCAATTTCTGTTCATGCTGTAACAGGTCATCAACCGCTTCAGACACACTTGGAAGTGGTTTCTGCAGTAAGAGCTGGGTCTTTATCACCTCATAATCTGAATTGAGACCCCTTAGAAACCTGATTAAGTAGTCTGTCTCTTGCCTTTCTGTATATGCTGTCACTGCTGCACAAGGATTGGGATTTCCAGGTGCACAGTTACATGGAACAATAGGGCTAAACTGCACATACTCCTCCCAATGGCCTTTCATCTGGGTATAATACTGATTTATAGTAGAATTCCCCTGTTTGCAAGCCTGGATTTCATCCTCTAGGTTGATGATTTTGATAGCATTTGGTTTACCAAACCTCCTCTTCAATTCATCCCACAGAACCTTAGCATTGACATGATTCATGACCGATCTTCGCAGATCTTTGTGCAAAGAGTTCAGAATCCATGACAACACTGCTGTATTACAAGCATCCCACAACAAATATCGATCATCTGTAGCTGGAGGCATTGGTATGCTTCCATCCACAAAACCCAGTTTGTGTTTCATCTTAAGACCCATAATCACTGATCTACTCCACATAGTGTAGTTCGTCCCATCAAACACCTCAGATCCAATGGATTGATTGAGTGCTTCGTTTGGGTTCAGGTAAAATGGGTTTCCAAAAGTGATTACCTCGGTTCGTTGATCTTGCTGTTGTGCATCAAATGAGCCAAATTGAAAACGAGCACCAGACCCTGTTGCTGCAGCATCGGATCTTGGTGTTCCCGACGGCGTTGTTTGTGCGCCGGACATCTTGACGGCCTTAGGTCGTTCGCCGCTCTGATACCATGTGAACTTTGGGTGAGGGTTTCAGAAATGCAGCACCCTTACTGAAGGAGGGCTGCTGTGGTTTGTATATATACCACGATTGTAAAAGCATAAAGCAACATAAACAGTAGTTTGCCACTTGTCAGTATGACATTGGCTATTACAAAACAAAACAGTGTTTAATTAACGGCTACTTGCACTCTTAGTAAAACGCCAGCGTTTTAACTTCTCTTCTCTTCATTTCTTCAACACGACATCGTTCCACTCTTCCTTCTTCACAGCTGCTGCTAATCCTTCTGCATCTCGGATTCATCTGCTGCTCTTACTTCAGTTTAGTTGACAGTTATGCTGATGTGGACGGGTTACTCATGATTATTAACCACAAAGTTACTAACCTGATCCGTTCCCGCAGCCCGATGATGTGCCTAATCAAAGCCGAGTCTCATATCTACATGACTACATCCCACACATCACTGACTCACTCTCTTTCTTTCTCTAAACGCGCGCGAAAACCCTTTCGGCTTTCGCTAGTCATTGAGCTGAGCAGTGCGGTCGCCGAAAAAATGCCGGAGCTACCGGAGGTGGAGGCGGCGAGAAGAGCCCTGGAGGAGCATTGCTTGGGCAAAACTATCAAGAAGGCTGTCGTCGCCGATGACTCCAAAGTCATCGACGGAATCTCTCCTTCGGATTTGCAGTCCGCTCTCGTCGGCAAAACCATAGTCGCTGCCCTCCGTAAGGGCAAGAATATGTGGCTGAAGCTCGATACCCCTCCTTTCCCTTCCTTCCAGTTCGGTAATGCTTTTCTTATTTCTCTTTCGCACGGTTCAATTGCTTGATTATTTGTTTCTTCCTTGTCTTCGAATTGATCTCACGGAAAACTGTATTGCAGGAATGACGGGTGCCGTGTACATAAAGGGAGTGGCTGTCACAAAATATAAGAGGCAAGTCCGTTTACCCCATTTCCTCTATGACATTTCTGTGCTTGAGATCTTTCAGTGAAGTTGATTGTAGGATTCTTCCTAGCTGAAGGGTCTTTGTGCTGATTTCTGGCTTTGTATGGACGGTTTGGTTTGGTTTGGTTTGCTTTCTGACTTAGATGGAATTAATGCATCTCCTTAAGTTTCCCGAGTGTAATCTGCAGAAAAGATTGTTGCTTTTGCAGGTCTGCGGTAAACGATACTGATGAGTGGCCTTCCAAATTCTCGAAGCTTTTCGTTGAAGTAAGAACCAGTATACCTTGTCTCATTCTGAATACTCCCTCTGCTGTGCTGTCATGATTATCGCTGTATATGGCAACCATCAGCGAATTAACAACTGTTCTCCTGTGCAGCTAGATGATGGTTTGGAGTTCTCTTTTACGGATAAGAGGCGGATGGCTAAAGTCCGCTTGCTCAATGATGTATATTTCTGTAGCTGGCTTTCATGTATAAAGGCTCATATGATTCTGATATAGTTTTAATCTTCTTTAGTTTTGAATTTCTTTTCCTTTTGAACAGCCTGCTTGTGTTCCCCCAATATCGGAGCTTGGTCCTGATGCACTTCTGGAGCCAATGACTGTTGATGAACTTCATAAATCATTGAGCAAGAAGAAGGTTGCAATTAAGGCTCTATTACTTGATCAGGTGAAGTCCTTTCTCCTTGGCGCTCAGCATCTTATCCAATATGTCAAACATGTAAAACAATCCAACAAATAGTGGAAGTTTGAAACGTGGCAAATTTGCGACCTTTGGCTCCTGTTTAGTGAGATAAATAAGAGGCTGCATGAGATTTAGTGCCTAGATATATCCCTAGTATATTATCTCATGCTGTTTTTCAGTGTCTAGATGAATTGTTAGTGGCCCTATCTAATGTTGTAGCCTGATTGAATAGTCTCTGAAGGTACCTATTGTCTGAATATACATCTTTTTGGTGTCCGGAGGCTCTACTATATTATTGTTTAAAAGGCTAACTGTAGTAATGATGGTACATTATCCTTCATTCAGGGTTTTATATCTGGAATTGGCAACTGGATTGCAGACGAAGTTTTATATCAAGTATGTATGCCCTTTGCAGCATCACTGGATCTATCTTTCGCTAACTTTGCTACATAAGTCTTCATGCCACTGCTGAATGCAACATTTGAAAATGCACGGTTATTTTATTTCCAATCTTTTTCGGTCTTGGCTCAAATGAAACATCTAAAATTTGTGAATTTGTCTCGCAGGCCAGAATTCATCCTCAGCAGATATCTTCCAGCTTGTCTAAAGAATACTGTGCAACTCTGCACAAGTGCATCAAGGAGGTAGGAAGTTCGTCCCCACTACATTTTGATTTCACCACGAAGTTATAATAGATAAATGTAATGGTTTATGAAAAAACTAGGATACCTTTGTAGGTTATACAATATGCAGTTGAAGTTGATGCTGAATCAAGCTGCTTTCCACTTGAATGGTTGTTTCATTTTCGTTGGGGCAAAAAGCCTGGAAAAGTTATTGGTAAGATTACTAGTATTCTTCCCCTTAACAAAACAAAAATGTTCTCTGACAGGTTATTGAACAAGCAGTAGAAGTTGGGGCAGACAGTAGTCAGTTCCCTAAGAACTGGATATTCCATTCACGTGAAAAGAAGTCTAAGGCTTTTGTGGACGGTTTGGACCCTGACCCTTGCACAACTTTTAATCTTCGAAGGCATGTAGTTATTAGTCTTTTTATTGGTGATGTTGACCCCAAGATTGAACTATAGGTGGATTGGGTATTTTCATCCATGATTAACACTAAATGCCATCTAAGCAGCGCACGAATGGTCCACCACTGAATTTATTTCCCAGTTGGACTTGAATTAGGTATCCTAGTAAGACTGAGCCCCTAGATGGATTAATAGCCCTTATCTAGGCAGTAAAGCTTTGGTGTCTGAGTTATATTATTCTAGATTCTAACTAGTTTAGATTAGAATTTCTGTATCCTTGGTCCATTTGGATCAAAGTATCTGGTTACTAGATGGCTATAGACCTTGCTCTCGATTGTTAAGAACCATTTCATCCCACTGACTTGAGTTTTGGGAGATTGACAGAAGTCTATTTGCTGTTGCAGGGAAGAAGATTGAGTTTATCACAGCTGGAGGGAGGGTATGCCTATTCTAGTACAAGCATTATGCTGTCTCTTTTTGTTTGTTCTTTAAGATGGTCAAATAAAGGGCCATTTTTTCCGTTTGTCTTCAGACAACTGCCTACGTACCGGAATTGCAAAAGCTAACTGGAGACCAGGCTGGGAAAGAGCAACCTGCACCCAAGCAGAAAGCTCCGAAGAGAAAGAAGGGAAAAGATGATGCTGATGATGATGATGATGACGGCAGTGATGGTGAAAAGGAATCAGAAAGTGACGAAGAGGAAACTTCCACAAAGGCCCGATCCAATAGAGCCTCGAAAACCAGAGGTCGTGCTAAGAAGACTTCTGCAGACAATGGTGGTGATAGTGATGAACCTCAGAATAAGACACCTGGAAAGACGATCAATAGCAAACAAACTAAGGCCGGGAAGAAGGCATCAGAAGGCAAGGCCAGCAAGGAAAATGGCAAGAAGCCAAAGAAGACTGCAGCGTAGATCGTGTTAGAACGCACTGAGCTGGACCGGCAAGCACTTTTGGCATGTAAAAAATCTAGGTCTTCTTTAGTTTTGTAAGCATCTGTTTTTGGCAGTCATGCTTACGAGCTCTCCAGCAATCCCTGTTTTGAGTTGGTTTTAGTAGGTGCTGATGGCTTTTGTGAATGCAGAACCATATGCGTATGCAACTTGAAGGGCGAGTGACTGTAAAAGGGCTCATTTTGGACTCTGCCTGTTTTAAGAACTAGAATGATGTAGATCTTCAATTAATGCTGCGGAAAGCACATGCTAACTCAGTAGTACCAGATAGTTCAGCCTTTCTCTTGCGGAAATCCTTTTACAATCAAAGGCGAAATCATAAAAACAAAAGAAAAACACATCGACGTATGTTTATTTACCAATGCTGTACCCTTTTGTTTTCCTCTGTGTACCTTCCTTCCCTTATATTGCCATCCTGCAACATCCAGAGCAGCAGCAAATTCAGATTTCCCCCTGGCTATAGAATGTCCTGTAGGAGCATATCTGCCACACTTTTCCAGTTTCAGCAGCGAACGCCCAATTTCCTCTACGATGTAATACGCAGCACCACTAGTGTCTCGATGCATTTCAATGTTTAATAAAAGAACTGCCTCAGAGCTTCAATAATTTTCTCAGGCCTGTTTTTCAGCCAAGAAAATCGGAGTAAGCTGAGCCAGTCAAAAAAAGGAAAAAAGGAGACTAAATCCAGAAACTGATTTACCAGTCTTCTTGTGGCATGTGCCCAGCTCCTTCAATCAACTTAAGCTTGATGTTACCAGGATTCCCTTTCCGGAACTCTTCTGCCACAGACTGCGGCAGATGCTTATCCGCCATTCCCCAGGCAACGAGTATTGGCTTGTCCCAACTGAATCATGAAGAAAAAAGGCTCAGAGATTTTTAAGTGTAGAATGCCATGACAGCAACTAGAGAAGCGAACCTGAAGGATGATATGTCATAGAGAGAGAGATATCAGACCTTTTAGAAGTCAAGCCACTGGCTACCTCACTTAGAACATTGTTGAAGTTAATCTTCCTTGCAGCCTCCAGCAATGCTAAAAACAGCAAGAGAAAAAGCTCGAAAAGCTATCATAAGTAGCTTCATTTCTACAGATGCTGGTCATAAAACCATGTACAAAATGAAAGACACAGTGTTACAAACCGAATCCGGGTCCACCACTGCGGAGGTATGGCAATCTATAGACATCAGCCTTCTCTGACTTCAGAACATAGCTGCAAAATAACATAACCATCTCAGTCTACAAACATTTTGTGCTACAAATTGGTCATTTATTCAAGACGAACATACAGTCAGAAGAAGAACTAGCTCATTGAATGCAGTGAACTACTTACGACGTCTTTTCCCAGAAGAAATATGTAAAAAAAGAACCCATCTTTGTCTAAACAAGTAAGCAAATTATAACTGTTCCAACACCCAAGGTGATTGATTATAATGTCAGCGTAAGCATCAATCCAGAATGGATTTCATTTTTCATTTCATTCACTAACCAATACGCATGATAATCCCAAAGTAGTGATGCATTGTGGTGGATACATACGGGCTACCTGCTTCAATAAACCGCTCAGCGATGATGGCATTCTGGCAGGTGAATTCACCAAAGAGTGGAATCCTGCAGTGAAGGAGAAGCAACCATGATCAACCACCCTAAGTAGCTAACAGCGACGTTGATGGATGAGCACTTCATCAGTAGGACCGATTCACCTTAGCTGTTTAAGTAATCCGGGAACAGGAGATGAAACAGTCAGTGGGGTGTTGAGAATTGCGAGTTTCGATATCTTGCTTGCGTTCTTCAAAGCCCAAGTCAATCCATAGGAACCTACAAGAAATCCCTTGGGAGAAAAAAGAGCAAGAGAAAGAGAAACATAGCTACATGTTTTAGGGTCGAATCTAGGAACAGGTCCTGCTGAACATTTCAAACTTAGAGAATTGCATCAAATGCAAACATGATTCAGCCAAACCTGAACAACAAGGAATACAGGAGTTTTGACTTTCATTTCTTCAAGCAAGTCATCCAAGGCCTCATGGAACTCCTTTTCTATGATCAATAAAAACATAAAATATACACTAAAATGACATGGAACACAACACCATGATTCATTCTACAGCAGCACACACAAAAATAAACACACCTGTATAATCAAATCCGTATCCAGGCTGTGGCATGTCACTGAAACCGAATCCAATCCAATCCGGTGCCAAACAATGGAACCCAGAATCCGACATCTATAGCAGCCAAACATTCAGCAGATAACTCATGGAATCAAACAACCATTGTATAGTACCATGAGAACCCAGATAGAATAACAAAGGCTAAACGTAAGAGAACCTGAGACATAACAACTCTGTAGCTAAAAGATTGTGTTGGAGCTCCATGGAGGAAGAGAATTGTTCCCCTTCGCGTATCAGGCGATCCTAACAAACATAAAAAAGTCACAAACTTTCACGAACCCAGTCATTAAAAATGGAAACAGAAACACCTCCCAATTTGTTTCATCGATCAATGGTGTCCAAATTCCTCACCAGTTTCTCTGACAAACCACCTCAATCTCTCCCGCCCTGCCACGACGTACTTCCCGAACTCCCTCCCCTTATCTTCTATCCGCTAGCAAATCTCTCGAAACATAAAATTCCATCAATTTTACGGAGAGAAACAGAAAGATTGAAAGCCCGTGACTGGTCCTTAGTACTTACGTAGAGCATCTGGCCGACATTGCCGTCTTCAGCAGGGACTTGAGGGAGCTGAATCGCTGCTCGACTGGAAGGGTTATCAGTAACGAATCCAAAAGGGTTGAATCCCGGCGTCGCATCGTCGTCGTCGTCTTTGGGATTCTGGGCGGTGCTCGCCCTGACAGTTAAACTTCGGTTGCTGCTGCTGATTCTTGTTCTGATTGTGGTTGCAGTTGTTCTGTTACTGAAGTCCACCAAAACTTGAGTTGTTCTAGTGGGAAGTGAAAGAGAAGAAGAAGGAAGGAGGGGAGCCGCCAAAACCATTTTTCTGCCTTGACTGTGAGGAGATGGTAATGCAGAGAATTACAATGGGCAATGGCTGGAATTTTGTGGACGACGGTTTTGGAGGGAATTTCTGTTTTTTCCTATCACTACTTTAATTTCTTGCCATACATTTCTCTTCTGGGTTAATTACACTGATAATCATTTAAATTTTGGATCACTTACGAATGGGTCATCAAATTTTGGTTTTCAGAGAAATTTTCCTGGACTTTTAAATATCTAACAAAATACTTGCTTTGCATACATTATCATCTCTGCTTTCAAAACTGGACCGGAAGCTGAACCATTTATCATCAGAATTTTCATCCTTCAGTGTTTAAACTCAAGAACTAATATCAAAGTCTCAGAGATCCTCCAATTTGGTATCTGAGGATCAAGGGACTAAAATTGTATTAGATATACAGGTTGGATAATTTATTTGAATTAAGGGGTCGTTTGGAAGTTGTGATTGTTAGAGTTGTGTTTGTTGAATACATGTATTGTGCACAATACAATGTTTGGAAGTGCCAAAATGTAAAACAATGCATGCATTGTTTTAGGTAGGTCCCACCAACAATCACAAAAAATGATGCATTATAAGTTGAGATTGTTGCTTTTTGATTTGTGTCAACTTTTTCTTCCCATTTATATCCCTAATAGTTTTTGTCTTATACTAAAAGTTGAGGGTAAATATGCCATTTCCCCATAAAATAACTTTATGTAAATCAATTCGTAAAGTAGAATCTCAACAACCAAACAATGTATTGTTAAAATACATCCATTGTATCAATACATACATTTATATTATGATGATTCATTACAATGCAACGATTTAACATTCACAACTTCCAAACGACCCCTAAGTCAATGATGAGAGAAAGTTATACAAAGAATCCAAGAAAGATGGCCGTGGTGATTGTTCTCCAAGTTCCTCCAAACCAGTGTAACAAATAAGAGTCTAGTGAGTGTGACTCCTTCAGTGACACCTTTATCTAATAGACCAACAATAACTTATGTTGTTGTTCTTTTTACATTGAGGTAAATAGTGAAAACACATCATGTAATTATTTATGATTACAACAAGAAGCTTGCTTTTGTATAACCTGATTGTACATGATCAGTATGCTATTTGGGAAAGATTACATCAGACTCCATTTCTTATTCACAAGAATAAGAGGAATTCCATTCCTCTGCACTGTGGAGGTCAACAGCAGCTTAACCGACCGACCCTTCAAGCTTTAAGCTCATCAACTGATTCACCTCGGCCCCAAATTCATCAGGAAGCTCATTAAACACCTCTCTGCAAAACCCAGAAATCATCGCAGCCATCGCCCTTTCATAGTCGATTCCCCTCTGTTGGAAGTAGAACAGTTGATCCTCCCCGATTTTAGATGTGGTGGCTTCATGTTCCACCCTAGCTGTGGGATTCTTCACCTGCAAAGCAAAGCATCACCTTTATGAAGCGTAACTCAACCATGGGAGCAAGGGAAGCTGGCTTCTACCATAGCAGGAATGAGAAAGGGGCAACAAACTTATTCCACCTAGTTTGCCAAAGCATCAACTGCCGCTCTAGCAAATTATAAAGCTCAAAAGGCAGTGGCAGAAACGGGGTTGAGAACAAGATAAAAAATGCAGATCATCGTTGGAACAAGTGAACACAGAAATTTCGATAAAAAGTTACCGTGACAAAAGAATTTGGCTTCCTTAAGGAAGGACTTGGTACAATAGTTGAATGCATTCCTAAACCACCTCTAACCTTCCACATTGAATTTTAAAAACATAAAATTTACTGAACTATGCAAGTTTTGGTCATGAACGTAGCTTCATAGTTACAGTCTTGTAATAAATGAGAAGGAGCTGGCAACCAACGAGGTGAATACTGGTCAAGCTTGAAACATTTGAAGCATATAACAAGTTTCAACAATAACCACAATAGCCTCGCATTTGTAATTTGGAGACAATACCCATATAAGAAAAAAAATTGGAGACAATATCTACTTTTAGATGCCAATGGTATAGATATCACAGAAGGGTAGCACTCACAATACAAAATTGTTTTAAAGCCAGGGAAGACAATACAACTATACAAGTCCAACGTGAAAAATAACAAACCCAAGAACTGTACCTGGATATAAGGATAGGTGTTGGCAGCAGCAGTATCACCAATAAGCATCGAATCACACTGAGATGAATTCTTGGCATTTTCAGCTTTTGACAGAACCTGAACAAGCCCCCTATAACAGTTTCTCGAATGCCCCACCGAAATACCTTTCGATATAATCCGACTCTTTGT